AGGGGAATGGTGATTAGAGAAATCGAATTCTGATAGTTTGGGTGGAAACTCATGTAGTAACTACTTGAATCACACATTAGAGTTCAATCATTAATTTATATAAAAAAATAAAAAAACTAGGTATTAATTTTAACATTAGATCTAAAATTAAAAACCAAATATGATATTTAACCCTTTTGAAAAAAGCAGCTCCACTTTTCCACTCTTTCAATCACAAACAGCCACCCAAGAATGAATTTGAAGGACGCTTATGTCCCCACTGTCTCACTGGATTCATCATTCCACCAATCATGTGAGCCCAACTGGCCTTACTCAAACGCGTTTTCTTTAATTTACCACTATTTTCTTTTCTTTTTTTTTTTTGAAAATAGGTAATGGAAATTTACCACTATTTTTGAAGCATATGCATTAACGATAGTATTACTGGTGTGGTGCTCCTGTATCCGTGATAGGGTAGGAGTTTAGAGATGGAGACCAATTAACCATCTAGTGATAATGGTAAATTTAATAAAATTAAAAAAAAAATTATGATATTTTGACACTTAATATATTAAAAATAATAATATTATTATTAAAATATTTTTAATAAATTAACATATAAAAAAGATTTATTAAGTTTTATTCCTTCTCATGAATTTTATTTTGTTGGTAAGATTGAAAGTTTTTAGTATTAGAGTTATTACTTACAAAAATTTAATTTTATCAAAAATATGAAAGTGACTAACTCCTTTTCTCTCTCTACTCTAGAACCTCCGGTTTCTAATTAGAATATTTGTGCTCGAAAGCCTTCGGCTCTCGAGTTTTTTGGTGCTCAGAAGCCACCGGCTTCTTGAGCATGGTGGAACCGGCCAATTGTGCTCCTTTGTCTGTTGATCACCTTAAATGGTCTATAAGTTTCTTTTGTGGCTTTTTGGTGGTCTTTGTTTTCCTTCTTTTTCCTGTTCTTCGTTTCTTGTTTTGTTTTGTTTTGTTTTGTTTAGATTTGGTAGCCAACAGGACAATAAAAAAGATATTTGGGGTTGGTCACTACTTGCTCTGATCTCCTAGTCATAGTATCCTAGAGAGTGGGCTTATCTATTTCGAGAGTAGATTGAAGGATGTTCAGTTTTTCTGCAACGTTCGAGCAAAAAAATTTGTAAAAATTAGTTTTCTTAGAGGTTGTTCATGTGATCTGTTCATCATCATTCTTTATATATGTCTAATGTTAGACTTAATTTACTTTTGTTTTTAATCTCCACTGTTCTTTATTTGTTTAGTCATCTGCTCTTATTAATGGGTTAACAATTTCTTATGTAGATATCATATGACTTTGATGAAATTATATGATTTCAACTTAGTTCAAAAAAAAAGAAAAAAAGAAAAAAAGAAAGTGACTTATTAAAATAACATGGAAAGGGATTAGTTGCAAAATTTGTAATGGTTTTTTTAACTTGTATTTATGTTAAGAGTATATAATAAATACACTTATTTCATCGTAAATTTATTTTTTTATAAAAAAATAACTTTTAATTTATGATTTTTTTATTTAGAGCACATGTGTACAATTATTACACTTTTTTATATTAATTAATATTAAAAAAAAGTCAAAATCAACTTTTATTTAAAAAACTGTTTAATTAAAATAATTCACATGACATTAATAATGAAATTAATAACAATTTTATATTTATTAGTACTAATTAATGTGAAAAGGATACAATAATTTCACCCTTAAAATACAAGTAAAAATAAACCTTTAATTTCTTAACCTTCCAATTAAATTCATCTACTTAAAAATAATACTAAAATTAATATCAATTTTTATACTTATATATATTTATGACAAAAATATACTTTTAATTTATGCGATACAAATTAGAAAAAATTAATTTGTAAAAGGAAAAGTGTATTCCCTGTGTTTCATTTTATTAGTAATTTTAGATTTTTTTCATTCAAATTAAAAAAATTATTTAATAGGCTTTATTATAGGAATATTTCTAATTAAGTTTACTTATTTGCTGTTTTGTTATTTTCAAAAAATAGAGTTTGTTTGTTATTGTCAAAATTTATTAGATGGTAAATTTGGAAAATAAAAAAAAATTAATGATGCCTTGAAATGTGAAAATCAAATAATGTGGAACAAGGAAAACTTTGTATAACAACAATGAAGGATGTTTCTAACTTGAGTATAGGGTGAAGGTGTATTTAATGTGTTTTTTTTTTTATCATTAATTTATTTAGATAATTACAAAAGTAATTTTATTTTCAACACTAATATCATGTGAAATAATTTAATTAAATAATTAATAAAACTTAAATTAATTTTTATTTTTTCTATACAACTTAATAATAAAAAATTATAATAATTGTACTTTTATCCTATGTGCTAAAATTAATGTTAAGTTTTTACTTTTCCATTTAAATTAGAGTCTAAAAAGTGTAATAAATGTTTTTTTAACCTGTACCCTAAATAAAAAGAAGAAGAAGAAAAGATTATTTTAGAGTTATTTAAGAATTTAAATAAATTTTGGACTAGAATAGAACCAATCCAA